TCCAAGGTTTCAAAAGACCAGTCCTGACGTTGACCCGCTAAGGCGTTTAGAATTTGTTTAGCACGCCAAGTCCTTCGGCATGCAGCCCTCCCTCACCCTGGCATGGTGTGGTTGGGTCGTGTGCAAATCTGTCAACACGTCAAGTAAACTTACTCTATTCTGAAACCTCAAGCCCCAAACTTGCCAGAATCACCACTCTAGGGTTTGGCTGGGGGACACAGGTGTCCACGAGCCACTTGGCCTCTTGCAGCGCTGAGACCAGACCTGACAGCAGTCTTGGGCCTAAACTACGAAGGCCTTGAGAGGCACAGGGTGCGACGGCGACATGCTTGAGCCACAGCTGGGTAAGACCCTGGCTCTACTATTTCTTAGCTGTGTGACCTGCAGCCAGTTTCTTAACCTCTCTGTGCCGAAGTTTAGTCCTCTGTAGACCTGTGAGTACCAACTTCACAGGTGGTTGTCAGTATTGAAAGAACACACGTAGACTGCTTAGAACGGTGTGTGGCAGGTGCTGAGTGCTCTGGAAATGCACCACCATGATTACGTCACGGCCCCGCAGTGGGGCTTTAGTTCAAAGACAGACACCCCTTGCACTAACGTGGCTCAAAGTCCCATTCACAGGGGGACTTCCATTTCTGGTAAACTCAGTGTAAACCACTGCCTGGACCAGAACACATTGCTGCCACTGCCACACAAGGCCATCTTCCCCCTGCCATGCCCCCGTGGCGGCGTGCTGGAAATGCTGACTCCCAGCGCCTTGCAATCGCCCCCTGGACGGAGACAACTTTCTGTGCAGACTGGAAGTCTCTCCTAAACAGCAGCATGGCAGCTGGCTCCTGTCTGCAAAGCCCGACTCCTGAGGGGGCCAAAATGGAGTCTCAGTGCCCAGAAGGCAGAAAGATTTAGGTGACCCCTGTGTCAGTGCCAAGGACAGATACGATCTGAAGATGCTGCACAGTCCAGGGGAAGGAGTCTGCACTGGGGGGAGGGGTCCGTGTGGCAGCTGGTGTCCCTGTCCTCTGCACCAGGCCAGGAACCACTGCACGGTTCAGGGCGGAGGTCCTCTGGGGTCTCCACCCTGTGCTCACCGGGGACGCCTACGATGTCTGGGGTGGCACCAGGCAACCAAGAGGGAAGGCCTCTGAGATAGCCACTAGTGACCTGCAGTGGCCCTCTGAATCTCCCCGTGCTCCACGGGCATGTGTGTGGTGCTGCGCGAAGTGAGGCCACTGCGCAGCAGCGGGAATCCCCACCACACCTGCTGAGAGGTGCTCCGGATAATTCAGGGAAATGTGGGAACTAACAGAGAGGGAGCAGAGTCGAGTTCATTACACGAGCAATCAGGGAAGGCAGCCACAAAAATGCAGGACAGACACTGAACATGGACTTCCTTTGAAGAACAAAGGCAAAAAAAAAGTTGGCTCACCAATGAGAATTAAGTGATAACAACATACTGCAGAGCAATCAAACTGATCTATGCCAGCTCACTCTGAAAAATACAGGGTCCCGAAGAATAACACTGAACTACGGTGAGACCTTTGAATAGTGAAGCATTTACTCTAAAATGCTTTGCAAGCTGATTTTAGCTCTTGTGGAGATGAAACCAACACAGGGCCCAGGGAGACAACTTCAGATGGCCTGGGCTTCTTGCTGCCTCCCTGAAGCCTCCACCACACCCTGGGGTCCCCGGCCAGGGGACAGCAAGAGCAGTCGGTTCCCAGCCCAGAGGTCCTCTTTGCTGTTACAAGTGTTGCATTCTTTAGGCTCCCATAGCCCCCTGACCCCCAACCATTGGAGTTTAAGATTTAAATGCAAGGCTCCTGGCTCTAGACAACTTCACACTCAGCTGGGCAGTGTTAGATTTCTCTTGCTCAGTCTGGGTACCAACCCTGGGAACATCTCCCAAGCCACCCCCGTCCTCAACCCCTATTCACCACTCAGTTAGTTTCAGGAAGAACCCATGTAGGCTCTTTGCTGGGATTTGGGAGGAGCTTGGCAGCCACATATAAAACTGACCCCAGTCAAGAACAGTACAGAACCTGTATGGCAAGGGCCTGGGTCCCTTTGGGTTCCAGGAGCAAACAGGTGGTACACTCAAACGGGGCAGCTGAAAGTCTAACACAGAGGCTGTTTACGCAGGTGCTGAGACTTTAGGGAAAACCTGCAGAGGAAGGCACAGCGCCCCAAGGAAACAGTCCCTGGTCTTGGCCTAAAGGGGCAGGGGACACACCTAGGAGCGAGGGGCGCAGCAGGAGCTGAGTCCCAAGGAAGGAAAATGTAGCGACTTCTCAACAGCCCAGCCCCAGGTGCTGCAGGAACCAACTGGGCCTGACTCTCCCACCCTCTGCTCGCTGCGCCGTGTCTCCCACCAACAGAATCCCCGGGAGCCCAGTGGCCCAGGGAGCCTGTTGCTGTAGTCCCTTGAGAGCCGGCTGCCTCTCTGGTGGGAGAGGACAGGGCAGGACGGCGTGGTTCTGGGGAGGCAGCTGGAACACATCCAGCCCCGGTTCATTTCCCAGAGGCCACAGCTTCCTGGTCTCCAGCCAAGTGCCACCTTCTTAGGGCAACACTTCCCCGGCCAATTTCAGAGCTCTGCTGACTGCTGGGAATGCGTGTTTGAACAAAGCCTTTATTCTCTCTTCCAACAGCAGGGCTGGAATTTAAAAAGCTTCATTTTCAAGACTTGCTGCTTTTGATTTGTCTAACCTGAAACTTACATTTTGGAGTCAAATAGAATTATTTAAACAAAGCATTTCAGTGATAAGCACAAAATGTTTTGATTTTTTTTCCTTTCCTCCTCCCCACATCACATAACATCGCTCCTCAAGATGTAAGGGCTATTCCACGGCCAACTCTTAAATCACAGCCTTTTTCAGCTTCTACTTCCCTGGGTCTTTGTCCCTTCAGCCGGTATCTTCCTCTGGGTGAGGACAGGCCACAGGAGGGGCCAATTCGACCTCCCACTGGGCTGGAGCAAAGGTGACTCCAGAACAGCGACCCCAGAACAGCGCTCCCCTCCTCTGCTGCCCGCCTCTGGGTTTGGCAGAGTCATGGGTTGTCATGCGATCAGTGTTCTCTATTAATTGTACGCACTACTTGTCTTTTTGTCCCACCCCAAACCCATTTTCCTTTCTTCTCTGCTTTACTCCTTTCTCTGATACCATCTTCTGTTCTCAGGTAAACTTCGCCCCACCCGAAGCCTGCAGTTATCTCCTTTATCGTGTCCCTCTTGCCTTAACTTGTCTGTTATTTTTAAGTCAGAATGTTGATCAGTATTTGCATTTCTTGGAAGTAACACCTGTGCTGTACTGTCCTAGAAACAATGTATCCCTCTGGGTCACACCACAGCCCAACCCCCCTGCTGAAGCACACAGAGGCCACGGTGACTGTCACCGAAGCCTTGAAGTTGGCCTACTGGTCACCAAAAACCACTCTGAAACAGAAGAGCTACTTTTTTTCACAATCATGAAGGCAAATGGAAAAAGCAAGGCCCTAGGGCCCCAAATATGAAAGATGAACAGCAGTCAGAAGACAAAGCTCAGATGTGGCCTGGCCCAGGTGCATCACACAAATAAATTAATAAACATAGTGTGAAATTCCCCTTAGAAAGAGTGAGCTAGTTTCTATGAGAAGGTTCTACATAAATGCAATGACGGTCTGGATGGAGGAGAGGTAATCGAACGCACCTTTGTGACAGAAGGGCGGCTGGCCTGGCCCAGTGCTGGGTGGGACAGGGCACACACATGACCTCACCTTCCACTCAGCACTTAGTTCTGGATCTTTGCTCAAGCTCCTGAGCAAAATCACTCATTTAGGACCAAAGAGAAATGTAGACAGAAATTTGGATAGTACTCAATTTAACAAGAGAATTCCCTGTGATACAAAAGACTGCATCATGCTATAAAAGTCAAGAGCATTTTGAAGACGGAGCATGTTCCATTTTCAGGCCCAGCGGAGGGCAGAATCAAAGCCACCGTCTCAGGTGGCTTTCCTGCACGGAGACCAGCAGCAGCAATCCCTTCTGCCAGCGGAAGCACTAGGGGGGGAGGGAAATCACCTAGCTAATGAGACCGAGCTTCTCAGCAGGTAAACAGAACCTGCTTCTCAAAGACTGGCCCACCGAACCCGGAGAGAAGGCGCAAAGCTCAGGAGACGGTTTACAGGCACCGGATAAGACTCGAAGTAACAGGAAGGGAGAAAGATCTTGAAGAAGCTATGTCAATGCCAGTTTTAAAATAAAGTCTAGACAATTTAAACTACATACACTTCCGCTGTCAGATTCCCCCGGGGAAGCACATCTAAGGCAGAATCACTCAGCCAGGGGCAACACAGGTCAGGGTTACCTTTGACCCATTCAAAAGCACAACAGCATCTTCTAAATTAATCACAAGAAGCACATCTACTGCCTTTAGCCACTGAGTGGATCTATATGCAACTAATACATGCTCGGCTGGCCAGGTGTGTGTCATTTTGGAGGCCTAGGTGACAATCCTACATGGGCTGGGGGGTTGGAATGGAACTAACTAGGTTACTACTTTATAAAGGTAAAAGCCAATGCAAATGTTCTCTTTCTAATTGATTTGGAAGACCGAGTGAAGCATCCACTCACTCAGTTTGACTGGAATGGCAAAATTATTTTGCCCAGGTAGAATAAGAAACCCATAATACTAAGAGTGATTATGGATCCTGGCCTGGTAGGTCAGTTGGGTAGAATGTCATCCCAATATACCAAGGCTGTGATTTCGGTCTCCGGCCAGGGCATATATAAGAAGCAACCAATGAATACATAAATCAGTGGAACAACAAATCGGTATTTGTCTCTCTCTCTCACATCAATTTTTTTAAAAAGAGAGTAATTATGTACTCCCCCCTGCACTCATCCTCATGACCTTGCCCAGAGATGTGCAGCGGTGGGCCAAGCTCCCAATTTGTATAGGGACTTAGGGGACCTTATGATCTTCACTCCTTCTTAACATAAAAATTAATGTGCATGGGTAACATCTGTCTTTTATTGAGTCAATCAATACATTGGGAATTTAGCAGCAAGTTAATGGCAAGCAGTTATAAAATCTCCTATTTTCCTACCTTTAAATTGTGTTAAACAATCTATAGCAACCTACCATCACAAGAACACACGTGAATGGCCGAGGCACTTCTGCTGTTATGCCCGTGGTAAGTTTATTAGCAATTTCCTAACAAAGTCTTCTAGTGCAACGTGCACGTAATTATTAGGAACCTCCATGACCACACTTGGCTCTCGTTTCCCTATAAAGAATTGTGCTGAAATCTAAGAACGTGAAGTAAAACTGAGCGGGCACGCCCACAGCCTTGCTCTGAGGGCACCTGCTCCTCTAAACAACCCTCAGAGGATCTCGCGCTGGTTTCGACCGCAGCCCTGCCCTCAAGCCTGTGGGTGGCTGTCCTTCAACGCCACGCTGCATGGAGATAGCTAGCTTCAATTTTAAACTGATGCAAACACACTGCAGGGCTCGGTGGAGCTAAAAGCTCACACAGTGCTGGTCCTTTACACATCCTACCCCCTCATTTTAGCACTAGAAAGAGCAGCTCTGGTTTTGTGCTATTCAGCGTTGGAAGGAACCTTAGAGTTTCTTTTTGGTTCTGGGCAGGGCAAAGGATTTAGAAGTGTATTTGGTTGTTGTTACATGGCTTGAAGTCACAGAGGGTTTCTCTAGTTCTCCCCTCATTCCGGCTGGAAGGAGTCTGCTGGTTGTGGAGTTTGAACTGCTGGTGTCCAGGTTGTCCATGTTTCCCTTCTTACTGGTCACGGGAAATTTCTTTTTATAAGCAGTGGGCTAGAAATAAAAGGGCTGGATTAATTTTCAGACACAAAGCAACACACATCAATTCAAAGAAGCAAAGAAATACAAAATTGTCCCAGATTTGCAAGCTGAATGCTCTCCAGGTGTGAGATGTAAACTAATCACATAGTAAAATTGTTATTATGGCAAAGAAAGCCCCGCCAGCAGCTTCAGGAAAACAGGGCTGTTTCGTGTTTGGTGGAGAGCAAACTCAAGATACAATTTCAGACCCTCCACCACACAAAGCGAAAGTACACGTGTGCTGACATTTGCATAGGGAGGTCTGTCTACACACAGCTGTGCTCGGCTCGTCTTCACAGATTCCAGACACGCGGTGGCATTTGCGTGGGTCCCCACAAGCCCATCATGACTGTTCTTCCTGCCTGGGTACAGAGCTGCTGCCCGGGCCCACTCCTCACAGCCTCACGGTTGTCCGCTCTGGCGCCAGGCACTGGTTTCTAATCCCCGTCACACCACCAGGCCAGGCCTGCAGGCCTCACTGCCATGTGGGGACAGTGGTATCTGCACATCTACTGCACGAGTCTATTATGAGAATGAGCAAGGTGGTGGCCGTGAAAGTACTTCATAGCTTCAAACCATGAAACAGGCAGACCGGACTTTAACAGGTGACTGTATCTTCTTAGGTCACCTCACCTTGCACGGAGAAGACGGTCTCTAATCCCGGCAGGAGAGAAACAGAGTCTATTTTGACCTTAGACCCATTCTACAAGCGATCAGTTCTAATTAAATGATGCAGAGCACAGAGCTCTAAAAGAGCCGGGAGTGTCTCAGGAGATGGACACCAGCAGGCCGGGGGCGAGACTCACGGTGTGATTGGGCAGGGCCTCAGTAGCCTGGGGCAGGGCTCACCAGTGTGTGCTCTGGTCAGGGAAACAGGGTGAGCACGTGGTGACAGGGTAATGACTGAGAATGAGAAGATTACATGGGACACAAAACAATCAACCTCGTGTTTCTCTGGCCACCCAGGCTCCTGTGATTCAGGTGGCCATGTTTTGTGCACAGTGGCGGCACTTAATATCTATGTGTCCAATGAGTAAATGACCTCCCTGGGCTGCAACAAAACTACATACAGGTCGAGTGACGGTTTTTGGTGCTGGCATTTTAGGGAAGAGAAAATCCACCTGACGGCTGTGTACTGCAGAGAGTCCTAAAGTACGTGCCTTGGCAGAATGACACTCTTGCATGACCTGACCACAGTGTATGCTAATTCTTGACCTGGTAATTTTGTTCACTGGAAAATTAATTTGTATAAATTTGGAAATGTAAACAGGTCCTTTCTTCACAGTTTTTTTTCCCAAGAAAATTTCTGTGTTGCTTCTCTGTATAGTCTTTCAAGAAACAGAAAACACTTCAAGCGCATTAGCATTCAGCAACGTAGGTGGGGTCCTCTCCCTGCAAACTCCTCTGCTCAGCAGCAGGGAAGAGGACAACACCCAGGTGTCCTGGTATCAGCACTGGCATTGGCATTGGCATCTGGCTGCAGGTAAGGGGCTTTGTCTACTGCGGTCCTGGTCCTGAAGGCATGAAATCTATCACAGAAATTTCAACTCATAAAAACTTAATTCACTTGACATACAAATCCTATTAAAAGGTGAACCTAACTGTAACCCTCTTCCCTTTGACATTTCCCCTTCTAGGACGTTGAGGAAATGTTTTTCAACAGGGTCCCCCACAACTAACACTCTGGAGAACAGGAACAGAGACTCACTTTCTTTCTGATGCACGCATATTCCTACCTGGTTGAATGTTTCCATTCTTCTTTAGACTTGCTTTCGTTAATTAATGTACTTGAGTCATTACAGTAATGCTCTTACCAGAAACACACAAGTGCCTGTTTTCTTATTTTGTTTTCAGTCTGGTATTTAATACATACTAAAACTGATATTGTCAACCATATTTTAATGGAGCTCCAAAACTGGCCTAAAATTGGGTACAGTGAAATAAATCACTGTACTCCCGGGTAACATCAATGCAAATCCACTTACCTTTATGCGAGTGTTTATCGCTTACAAGCTTCTGTGCATATGTGTGCTTTCTGTTAAGTATTATATGTGTGTACACTTTACTATGTCTCTTTGCTAATGTGCAGCTGCATGAAGTTTAGGAAGCAAAGTCATAAGAACAGTCCTAAAGACGCCTCGTACATTTCCCCCCACTGAGACTGCTCTCCAGTGCCAACCGAACGCGGCGCAGGCGGGTCCTCATGCGGCCCTTCGGGCAAAGCGTTAACTTTCTCCACCAAGAGCCACGTCTCTCATCTCCCTGGAACATAACCAGCGAAGGCAAATTCTGGTTTCTGGGTTTTTCTCTAGCAACATGAACAAATCTTAATTTTTCAGGGATATAGATTTTAGGTTATAGACTAATTAAATTTAGCTGTTTTTCTGTTCTTATAGTTCATGGAATTCCTCAAAAGTCTGTCACGGATACAACTGGATGATTTTATGAGTCCTAGAGAAAACAAAAGAGAAACTGCCAAGGCCGCAGGAGTTACTGAGATCTTGCAGGTCATGAAAGGCAAACAGAAGGTGATGGGCTCCCGTAAGCTGGTACGAAGGGGGAGAAAGACGAGAGAGGAGCATCAGTGTTCAGGTCTGAGGGGAAGAGTCTAAAGGGTCATCACGAGACTGCTGGCTACCATCCCCAATCCAAGAAAGAGGATCTGCAATAAAAATCACTGGACTAGTCCCTGCAGACACTGGTACACTATTGCACAGTGACCAAGAAAACCTGGCTATCATCAGTAAGCACCTTCAAAATCAAAGGAAAAAAACCTTCTATCCTTACATAAAATCATGGAGAATTCACACCCGAAAGACTGCAACCAGCTCAAACAGAAAAAAGAGACCAAGAAGGTTTACGGACAGGCTACTAATCTGATTAGTGAGTGGAGGTTTCTTTATAAGAGAGTTCTTCAGTCTCAAAAATATAAAGAATTGGAGGACCCTTGTAATCACAATCCATAAAAGAAGGTTTCAGCACTGGAGCTGGACAGCATCTCAGAGCGAGGCGGCAGGCGGGAAGGCCACGTTGGGGCAGCACTCCGCCTGACTGAGCCCCGCCTGGCAGAGCCTCGCCCTTTGGGACTGCTGAAGGGCAGCCAGGCCTACCGGGGGCGAAATGATGGAAAAGACGACCTTACCAGGTTCCCTGCAGTTCCCTCTTTTAGTAATTCAGCACCCTTGGCCTGCTTTCTCCAGCTTATATTACCAGTCTTGAAAAGAGGGCATCATGTGTGCAAGGGGAGATATGTAACAAGAAAACTGGGCTAAATATACATATTTCATTATTCACTGGCATGACTTTAACCTGATGAACTCATCTGGTGATAATGGATGCAAAACCTGTGAGCTCTTGGTTTATCCCTGAAAGCTAATACCAGTGCATGATTACTAGAAACTGCTACCACTTCTCTGAATTTTGAGTAAAATATATGCTATTTAAGTAAAGTGGTTTATCACCATAGCAACCATTTCTAGAGTCACACATTCAAATAATAGGCCTGCACAAGGTGCAAGTGACAGAACATTCTGATACAAGTTTTCCGCTGCACCGCTGGCTGCAATGGTCGCCCACTTTCGCTCACATTCCTGTGCTTTTCAGAACGAAGAAGGAAGGGAAGGACAAGCAAAGGGAAGAAGAGAAACCGACTTCCAAATACACGGATTCCTTGTATAAGCCTTCCCATATAAAAAGCTGGGTCTTGCATGAAAATAATGAAAATAAAAACTAACTTGCAAATTAGAAATATAAACATCTCTTCCTTTTAAAGTATAATTTACATACAGTAGAATGAGCAAGTGTCAAATGTACAGTTTTATGAGTTTTGACAATGCACAGACCGGCATAACCAACACGCCAATCAAGAAGTAGAACAACTTCCTAGAAAGTCCCCTGGTGCCACCTCCTTGTCAACTCCCTTCCATCCTGGGGCTGTAAATGTTTTGATATTTTTCAGCGTAAGTTACTTTGTCTTTTCTAAAACTTCATATAAATGAAATAACATACAGTATGTGTTTTTAGCTTCTGACTTCTTTTGCTTCATGTTTTAATTGGAATTTTTATTAAGACAGTAGATTCTATACCCTGACTGGTGTGGCTCAGTGGAGTGGGTGTCATCCTGCAAACGGAAAGGTTGCTGGTCCCGCTCCCAGTCAGGGCACATGCCTGGGTTGCAGGCCAGGCCCTCCGACTGTGGGTGGTGTGAAAGGCAACCAATTGATGTCTCTCTCATATGTCGATGTTTCCTGCCCTCTCTTTCTCCCTCCCTTCCCCCTCTCTAAAAAATAAAATCCTTAAAGAAATAGATTGTCATGGTATTGTATCACATTTTTGAGATTCATCCATGATTTAATATGTTTATTGTCAAGTAATATTTGATTGCATGTTTATGCTATAATTTCCTTATCCATTCTTCTATTAATGGATATTTGGGCTGTTGCCAGTTTAGGACTGTTTATATATAAAGCTGCTGTAAACATATTCTAGAGACTTCCGCCAAGATGGAGATGTAGGTGGAGGAACCACCTTGCCTCTGTGCACAACCAAATCTAAGAACAACTATTTTTAACAGCAGTCACAACCAAGCCACACGGAAAATCGACAATACGGAGTCCAAAGGACAACTAGATACTCAGCTGGACCGGTACTAGGAGCGAAGCCAGCAGCGGAGCAGGTTGGCAAGATAAAATTCCCGGGTGGTGTGCGGTGCGCAAGCAGCCGAAGGCGCTGATCGCGAGCTAGCTACCGGAGTGCACAGGGAAGAGGCCCAGCGGGCTGTCTCGGTCGGTCGCACATTTACGTGCGGAGAAACCAGTGAGAAGGAAGCCTGCGTGGGGCAGCAGGCTCGCACAATTCCGATCTGATAAACAAGCCCGAGGCGTGTGGTTTGACTGGACGGGCTGGGCTAGCGGAGAGGAACGCCATCGCTCCCTCTCTGACCACGCCCCCACACACAGCGTCACAAACCAGCG